TCTTTAAAATTGTTTCTCTTGAAACACAAAAAAACCTTCGAGTTTGGTTACGCTTAGCTCAAAGACACGTCATTTGCAGCATATCTTAAGTTGAGAAAAGCTATCTGTCAACGAAGACCTCTCGGGTTCAATCTCATTCAACTTGAGTACCTACAACCACTTGGTGAAGTCAAAGAATTATTTTTCAGTCGAATTTTCAAACCAAGGTCTTTAAACCGAGAAGAAGACCGAAGTTGATTACAATTTGGCAACGAGAAGCCATATTCCAATTCAAATTCTGAATTGCGGCTTCAATTCCATTTCAAGATGGACCCGACTTCGCAACGAAAGCCTCCAGTTCAACTTAACCTTACGACGAGGGAGTAACTTCGACAAATCAGTCTTAACATCAGATTTCAACTCTACGATAGGGGATGTTCGATATAGAAAAAATTTGTGTCTTGTAATCTTTGCTCCATTTTCGTTACACGATAATGAGCAAAGAGGAGCAGCTGAAGACACCAAATTTTGTCCTTTGATACTATATAATATATTTACATTATAATTTCTATTATATAATACGCTTTATTACATATGGTGCACACATTTACACATTTATTTGTTTACATTTGTGTCAGGTCCTAAATACAAAAAAATAAAGCCCAACAATGACCCAAATCCCACGTGACCCAAGTGACTCAGCTGCCCAACATCTTGTGCAGTCCGAATCAATATGGATTAGGGGTTGTATAAACCCTAATCTCTCAATCTCTTAGCATCGTTAGAAGACCAGGGTTTCCAAAAACCCTAATATGCCGCCTCCTTCGCTCGAAGTGCCCTAGCGCCGCACGTTTCACCCCACACATCCATCGTCGAAAATCTCAACTCTCACGTCAACAACCAAAGCAACCAACAAATGTTATGATTCCAGTTTGAATAGGAGTCTTAAAATAGGGTTTTTCAATTATAAATAACATGTAATCTCACACACAATGGACACGAATTTCATACGATTATACTACGATTGATGTATATGAAATACCCAGAAATTTGAGAGAAATACATTCGGCAATTACAAACTTTTTTTTCTCAAGATACGAGCAATGTTATTCTAAGCGTTATTTTTATTTTCGAAAACAAAGTAAAGTTAAAAATCTCACCTTTTCTTCTGTTGATGCTTGCATGTAGGAGTGATCTTTGCTTGTTTGACGTTTTGGTTCGAATGCAACAAAAAAAATTCGAGATTTCTTTTTCAGATCTACGCTTTCCCGGGGATTTTTTGCAAAAACGGTTTCGTTATTTGAAGAGATGGGAGGAAACTCTTTTAAAAAAATACAAATTTTTTACTTTTGTCGCTGATGATCGGTGGCCGGTGCCGATCAACGATGGCGGTAAGGCGACGCTGCGGTGGTCGGATTCTGGGTTCATCAAGAACCCAGGCGACCGTTCATCCATTGATGAACAGATGAGAGCAAATTATGAGAGTGAGGCGTTTTTTAGAGTAAAGAAGATGAATGAAGTTTTTTTTAAAAAAAATTGCTTATAAACTTGGCCCAATAACCCGTTTAGGGTCTACGTGTCGACCTGACCCAAGGGTCAAATCCGTGCGTTTTCAAACAAAACTGGGTTAATCCCAGTTTTAGTCCTCCACTGTTTCAATTCCATCATTTCACCCCCTAATTCGCAATATCAACTCTAATTTTCTTCCGAATTTGATTCCAATTTTGACTTTTCTTTTATATTAGTCCTTTTATTTTATTTCATTCATTTCATGTTATTATTCATATTATTATTATTATTATTATTATTATATATATATGTTTTATGTAATTTCATTTGATTATTTGATTATATATATATATATATATATATATATATATATATATATATTAAATATTTTTACTATAAGCGTATTGTTACTATATATATATTGTAATTACCTTTTTCGATTATTTTTTCTATCATTATATGTATATATGTTATTTTAGTTATTTGCTTTATTAATTTATGCATTTACTTTTTTTATTTATTTTATATACATATATATTATTCGTACTTTGTTATTATTATTTTGTTTATTTGTTTTATTTATATTTTTCCTTCTTTTCCTTTATTTTTTATTATTTTTTACTTACTATTTTATCTTTGTTTTCTTCATTTTATCGTTTTACTTAATTTATTTTTTTTAATTTAATTAATTAATTTATTTATTACCATTTTATCTAACATGACTTTTTGACCTTCTTAAGGGTACATTTTCAATCAATCAAGTTTTGGATTGTTGTTTTACCTTTTAATTTAAACTTTCAACTTTCTTAATTAAAGACAATTGGAAATTACGTAGTACCGAAAGGGCAGCTCAAGGGTGCTAACCCTTCCTTGACTGTAACCGACTCCCGAATCCAACATATCACTGGAAAGACGCAGATAAAGTAAGACGATGTTCGACCCACCCAAATTCGTTTTAAAATAGTCGGTGGCGACTCTAACCCAATCAATTTAAGTCGAAGCCCAATTCAGAGCCCAACCGAAAGACAATTCCGACACCTATTATTCATTATCTATTACTAAGATTTCATTTTCATTTGTTACTTTTTAAAATATATTTTCAACTATATTCAATCATTAAAGTTTCATTTTCATCAATTATAGATTAAAATAGTACTCTCTTCGTCCTATTAAATATATCCATTATTGACTTTTAAAAAGTTAAATTTTTAAATTTTGACCATGATTATTTTAAATATTTTAAACAATTATATTTTATAAAAATATATATTTAAAAACTACTTGATTTAAGGTTTTAAAATATATTTTTTCATATTTTCATCAATAATAAATTTTAAATAAAAATTAGTCAAAGTTAAAAAAAATACCAAAAAAGTCAACATCGTACAAAATTTAATGAGACCGAGGTAGTATTTATCAACGATTTTTGAATATATAATTGAACATGTTTACGAACACTAAACGAACATGTTCGCTTACATATAAGCAGACATGTTCACAAACACTAAATGAATATGTTTACAAATGTTACACAAACATATTCACGAATAATAAATAAACATACACGAACACCATTACACAATACTAAAAATTTAAATAAACACTAACCAAACATAAACAACTTCAAAAATAAACCAACGAACAAGAACATAAATTTACTCGCTCGATTTATTTACACCTATAATCCTAATATTTAAATGGGTAAACTACACGTTTAATACTTAAACTATTACTTTTGTTTTATTTTAGTAACCTAGCTTTTTTTTTCAAAGTCATACCTAATATTTATTTTAGGTTTCATTTTGATACTCATTCATTAAAAACTTAATGGTGATGTTGACGTGTCACCATAAGATAATACCATATCATCATTGGAAAATATAAAAAATGTCACGTAAGCAATTCTGTTCATTTTTTAACGACAATGTATCAAATTGAAACATAAACTAAATATTATGCATAGTTTTAAAAAATAAATTTTAAGTATCAAAACATAACAAAAGTAATAGTTTAGGTACTAAATCCGTAGTTTACTCTATTTAAATTATACTAACATGAACTTTCAACCTCAGTGGTTAAGGGATGATTGTTATCCCTAGATATACCTGGTTTAAGCACAATGTTTGCAAATGTGTTTAAATGTTTATTATCGAGTAACTAAATTTTTTTTAAATAAATATTATCTTATATTACCCGGACCAATATTTTTTTATATCAACATGATAAATCAGAAAGATTTTAATATTAGCATGAATTTAAATAAATATATGCAATTTCAATACTACACTTGAACCTGATTTGAAATTCAACCAAAATCACTATAGATAAGGTATAATTGAAAGGAAGATTGGGAGCTGAAACATTTAACTTTTACGGAATTGTTCAATTGATATCATTATTACTAATAAAACATAATTTCTAATGGGAAAGACAGCTTTTGTCTTTCATTTAATGAAGAATTGTGGGGCATGTCTGGTCGTTCTTTTAAATTTTCAACCTGGATGCGGAAGTGCTATATAAATTAAGCTATGTTTTCCCATTGACATTCAAGAATTCAATATTCGATTCAAAGAAAAATTAAACGAGATTTGTAAAATGCTAAAATAATACACTCATAAAGTTGGTTAACATTCTTCTGATAATAATTATTTAAGGAATATTGGTTTAATTTGATCTAGAGACCGACATATAAATGATCCCATGACTATAGAAAACTATTCTGTTAAATTTTCAATTATTATATTTTAAACTCATCATTTTTCATTTAGACATTTGACGAACATTTGAGTTAGTCATTTACTTATTGATTGAGATATGATAAAATTATATTTTAACGATGTCTACAGACATCGTCATTGCTTTCAAATACTGGCTTGACGACATAATATTTAAAACATTAGCTCAACGATATAATATAAACAAATGTTCAATCTACAAATACAACTTAAACAATTTTGAGATCAAATTTTATTATATTTCTACTAACATATTAAAGTCAAACTCTAACGACTGTCAATTTTATAACAAAAAAAGAAGAATGTGAAATATATGGATAATATAATCATTTTATAATATTTAATAGTTAAGAGAATTAACAAAATAGTTGTATGTAGTTGGATCATTTATATACTTTACCATTTAATATATTATAAGGCTGTCTGATATATGATTAGTATTGAATTACCACATTGCCCTCAGATTTACAGGGAAAGGGATTTTTGAAACACGTGTTCACCCCTCCATCAAGTACCACACAAACTAATCGAAACCCGCATGTAGTTTTATCAGAATCCCCAATAACAGTAAAAAATCTGTTTGGAATTTGAAATCTCGACCCTCTTAAAAAGAGACGTTACAGGCTTTTAATTTGCATTCCATTTCAATAATATGATTAAATTATGTTTTTAAATTTAAACTATATACATATATATATATATATATATATATAAATTCTCATCTTATTACTTTGAACTCCATTTATTGTTTTGAACTACTACACGTTCTCTCTTCCTTCGTCTCCCTGTCATTTTTCTCACACTCAAAACAGGAGCCTTTGCCTGTCATTTCCCAAAAATATCAAATTCAAGCTTAACCCATACCAGTGTTCATTCTTTTTCTCTGTATTTAAGCCAAACCCAGAAAATTTTATCTGCATTTAAGTTGATCCCCTTCATTGTTTTTTTTTTCAGTGTAAGTCCTTTTATTTGGTTTAAAAGTTTTGTTGTTTTGTTGTTTTTGGTATTTTGCATTTACTTTTCTTTCTAACTTGCAGTTTATTGATGAACGTGTTGTTGGTTTTGCTTGGTTTAAGATTGGCATATAATTGATCTGATTTATGGGTGTCTTTGTTTTTTCTTTTGAATATAGTGTTCTTGATATTATGAAATCGACTGACTTGGTACATTATCCTTTTTATTGGAAGATTTTATTAGAATTGGGACCTAGGGTATTTGTTTGGTAAAATGAGAGTATGCCATTAGTTTCTACAGTTATTTTTTAATCCCCTTAGTTAGTTCCATAGAAACTTCAGGTGTTGAAACTATGGTCAAATGGCATGAAGTTGTAGAGATATTGATATAGCATGGTCTAGACATCGTAAGTTGCATCTCATCTTGAAATTGTGTGGATGAGTAGCTTAATTATTTTCAAGAATGAGTGCATTGTGATATAGATCTAAGATAGTGATTATGGCAGCAGGAGAAAGGGTACTTTTTTCATCTACATTAACAGCCTTCTAACTTCCCTTTTTAGGGGATCCAGATAGACATTGGCTCTTCCATTATGCTCTTTAGAAAATGATGGTAAGAAATTCGATTTACTACATACTGAGCTGTTTGTTGTGTCGAATAATGTCTGCAGATGGATTTGATTGATGGAATGGAGTTTTTGTTTCTCTTGTATCATTTGCTTGTATAAGTTAAGCAGTCTCGAATCCGGCTTTTATACGATGGGGGTTGACAAAGAAAGTTCGAGAAATGGAGGAGGTTATGTGGGTGGATTTTTTCAGCTGTTTGACTGGACTGCGAAATCTCGGAAGAAGTTATGCTCAAGCAAGTCAGGTTTGCCAGGTTACAACACTCTTCCCCTTTCAGATGAGCATGCAACATGTTTCTTGGCATGCATATCCAATTGCAAAATATATTCTTGTTCTGTAATAGTTTATGAATTTTCACGGTTGCTAATGGGTTTTGTTTCTTCAATCTTGTAGAGCAATCGAAGCAGGGAAAAAGAAGTGATGGGAACTTGACGATGACACAATTCCATCTGGTGAGAACTGGCAAATCCCAGATGACTTCAGGGTTTATCTTTTCTTTTAACTCTCTTGATTGCCATTATAATTCGTGAGATTCCTTTACAAATGTTGCTGTTATTATTGCAGACCGATGAGGATGAAATTGAAGCCACAAGCATCAAAGGCAGTACTGATTATAGTTGCGCTTCCTCCATCACTGATGATGATGTGTTTGGAGCTAAGGCCCCTAGTGTGGTTGCCAGGCTTATGGGATTAGACTCCTTACCCACATATACTGAGCCATACTCCACCCCTTTGTTCGACACTCAATCTCTTCGAGATGCTCATATCCGAAATAGAAAACTTAGTTATCATCATGATCAACTAGTAGTTTATCCTGGAGATCTGTTCAGTAAGATCGAGGGCCCTGCAAGGAATTTTGTGGAGTCAAAGCCTCAAAAGACAGTCAGCAAGCCTATTGAGAAATTCCAAATGGAAAGTTTACCCCCGAAATCAGCTAAAACAATTCCCGTCACCCACCATAAACTTCTGTCTCCTATCAAGAGTCCTGGTTTTATTTCAACTAAAAATGCGGCTCACATAATGGAAACTGCTGCGAGAATCATTCAGCCTAGCCCACAAGCTATAGCTAAAGACAAAATGCCTATGGTTGGTTCATCCTCAGTGCCGGTGAAAGTTCGTGATTTCAAAGAAAGAATGGAGGCTGTGCAGAAAATGCCTCCGGTTGGATCTTCTTCCCTGTCTTTGAAAGCTCGAGATTTAAAAGAGAAAGCAGAAACTACACATAAAACGTCGAGGCTCACTGAAAGTACTAGAAGGCCAGCTGAGTCAAATGCAGCCAAGTATCTTAAAGGACAAACTTTGAACAAGAGCTGGAATGGATTTACAGAGACAACATCTCCCAGGACTTCTGATACCGAAGAAATCTCTTCTGCTTTAAAGAGTAAGGGGAAGTCGGTTTCACTTGCGATTCAAGCTAAGTTCAATGTGCAGAAAAGAGAAGGATTGGCTTCGAGCAGCACCCGAAGTTTGTTAGGTCCTAAAGACCAGAGTGACGTTGTGTGTAGTCAACCCTTCAAGAGCCAACTGAGCACTCAAAAGACTTCTCATAAGAAACCTTCAATGCAAAATTCTTCTGGTGTACTCAAGCAGAACAATCAGATGCAAAATTCTATAGCCGATAAGGAAAAATTACCTTCAAAGCCCACGTGTTCCAACTTGCGAAGTAGAAAAGTGCTCTCTGATGACTCTGCATTCGGGCAACACAGAATGTCAGGAAAAGCTGCTGGGAACTCCAAAACTGGCTTGAGGAAGTCGAGTTTAGTTACTAGTACAATGGATGGGGAAAAAGAAGGTCCGTATTCCTGTACAAAGAATCCGAGGAAGAAAAGATCGATAGATAGGGATATCCATTTTGAGAAAAATCAGGTTGTTGATAGTGTGTTGATTGAAAAAAAACAGAAGGAAGATCATCCTGTTAACGAAAGGAGCTTCAGCTGGGTTGAAGATAGCAAGAATAAAGGCATGGATGTTGTCTCATTCACATTCACAACCCCACTTACCCGTCCAATGGAAATATCTGCTCAGGTTGCTGAGAAAAATAGGGGCTTTTGCATGGATAATCGAGGAAAGAGATTGTTGCTTGACACCGACAGTATGAAGTTGTCTTCATCTGGATATAATGTGATAGGGGGAGATGCTTTAAGTAAGCTTCTGGAACAAAAGCTAAGGGAATTAACTATTGCTGTCGAATCATCTAGCCAAAAGTCTCTCAATTCAGGATCGGCTTCTGGTTCTATATCTTTTTCACAAGATATGGGGCATAGCACTCCTAATGCTTGTAGTAGCTTGCCCAAGTTACATGATAAACTGGGTAGTTGTTACAGTTCCAACCTGTACTCCGCTGATCTTCAACTGCTTCGGTTGAAACAAAAGCTTCAGGTAAAAGAATTAGCATTTCAATTTTCTTAGGAAAAAGAACTCTTTTTAACGCCTAACCATTTTTCATCTCAATCATGAGTATTGAGTAGGTGTTGCTATGAAATTCATCCAAACTATTTCTACGAAAATGATATTTAACAGTAATATGGTACGTTCAGGGAGGAGCTGATGAATGCAGTAGTAGCTCTCTTGATGCAGTACAACCTAGTCCTGTTTCTATCCTCGAGCCTTCTTTTTCAATTGAAAGCTGCAACTCTTCAGATAGCACAGATAGTTTCAGCATAGAAGGTAAAGCTTGTGGCTTACCCTTTATGTTTGATATTAAATATACACTCTTTACGCTTTCCTTTTGGTAGACTAATGTGTACTTCGGATATAAATTTCAGAAAGTAAGCAGTGTTCATTTGTTCAATCTCGGGAAGTTCTCGGGCTAAGTGCTTTAAAGAAGTTGCTCCCGGTAGAAGCTGATACAGAGTTATCAGATTCAGCGTCTTCCATGTATTCAAGAACAGTGGCTAAAAGTAATGAAAATTTTGTCTCCGTGAAGTCAGCCAACTGGGAACTAGAATACGTGAATCTAATATTGTGTAATATGGAGTTAATGTTCAAGGACTTTGCCTTGAATCGTGCTTGTGAAACTATAAATCCTCGTCTTTTCGATCAGTTGGAGAGCCGAAGAGGTGGATTCAGATCTGATGGTGGTGGGGAGTCGAGGCTAGAACGGAAGGTACTATTTGATTCAGTCAGTGAATGCATAGATTTGAGATGCAGACAGTATGTAGGCGGAGGATACAAAATGTGGACGAAAGGGATGATGATCCTGAGAAGAAACGAGCGGCTAGCTGAAGAAGTGTACAATGAGATATGCAGGTGGAGAGGCATGGGAGACTGCATGGTGGATGAGCTTGTGGACAAAGACATGAGCAGCCAACATGGAAAATGGCTGGACTTTGAAGTCGATGCATTGGTACTCGGAGTCGACATCGAGGGTCAAATACTGAATGCTTTGGTTGATGAGGTTATTACTGAGTTCTCTTGATGTTTTAAAAGCATTAGTTTTGTTTTGCCACACGCATGTTGTGCTCCCTTGGGGATCTTATCCTTGTATCATGAAAAGATTCTCTAAAGTTCATTCTTCAAATTATTTTGAATCAACATTTTTTCTCCTCAGTTAATCACAAGTAAAAAGACTATAAAAGATATCATATATCATATATAATATATAATAATATCCCCATGATGTCCCACTATACTTTTTTATTGAATTCGATTGGTACTAATTGTTTGTGTGCAGTTGGTTGTTTGTAAGTTGAAAACTAAGTAAACTACACCAATGGATACTAGAGTAAGTTTTCATTTCCCCCAATGAAGTTTCAACAATAACAAATTTGGTTACTAATGTTATTGATTTGTAATAAAATAATCACTCCATCGTATTACTGTTAAATTGATTATAAAAAAGGTTAATATTTAGTTTTACCCCTAAACTATTGTTAAACCATCAAATATATCCTTAAACAATGATTTATATCTAAATTTATTTCAAAAGCCAAAGAAAATCACACTTACTAATCCCAAATCGACCATAAAAATCCTCAATGGATTGATTTTACTCTTATTCCCTCAATCTACGCTCATTTTATGATTTACCAGTAATTTAGGGATAAAATTAGGTATTAACCTTTTTGTTAACATTGTCATATCATCAATTTAAAGGAAATAACAATAGAGCAAATCGATAACATGAGTGATAATTTCATAACAAATCAATAACTTTACTCACCAATATGTTACTTGTAAAACTTTAATGAGAAAAACGAAAATTTACTCAAATATCAATAATATTTACCCTAAAATAACACATGCTTACAAAACAGGTTGAATTTTAAGTTCAGACCTTGAATGACGAAGCTCGAGCGTAGACCATATTTTAGATGAGCTTAAATGTTCTGTTGAATCCAGTTTTCAGGCCTAACATGTTGTGTCTAAAACATCTAAAAAGCTGTTCAAATAGCCTAAACTTTTAATATTCATACCTATCCCATGCAACAATGTCATTTCCAAATGGGGAACGTGAAAATAGTCAATCATGTCACACCCTAAATGCGGGGTTAGAAGTTGTATATGACATAAAACAGATTGATCCTGAGTTAAGTTAAAAATTTAAAGGTTTGATTGAACAATTTAGAAGCTTGATAGACTAACACAAGAAAAGGTTTTGAGATTCTTTCGAAAGCTTTGGAAATCTAGAGACCAAACCCTTTTATTTTGTAGTTCAAAATTAATAAAAAAAATAGGATTTGTGCAAGGTGGGGGACCAAACCCCCGTCTGATAACTTGGGAGGCAGCATACATGCTATCTCTACTGAACACATTATGTGTCATGTCATGTGTTGGATTTAGCTCCCTTCTTTCTTGGTACGTTAACCAAGAAACAATCGTTTTAAACCTTAAATGTTCTTTCTTTACTTTTGGTTATCACAAGGACATATCTATTAGTTTGTTTTATGGGATAATTATGAACTGCCCCCTTACTTTTAGAAAAGTTATACTTTGGTTTTCTCGAGCTAGGATCCCGACTCTATTCCATTCATTTTCTCTATGGATCACAAACTAATTCCCTCCCACGAAGCTTTCCAATGCCTCGCAACCAAACCATAGTTTGAACCCAACTTTCTGACCTGACTGAACCAAAATCCACGTCAACCTCAACTCCACTTATTTGACTCTTGACCTAACCTGAGTCAAGTTGTCAAACGTGAGTGAAGCAGGCGGGATATGTAAAAAATTTATTCATTTCTCATGTATATTCACAAAACACTATAGCAAGCATTTATACATGAAATGTAAACTAAGCTAACTAACTAACTAACAGATTGTAACAGACTTATAACTAACTAACTAGTTTACAACTCAACATTTCCCCTCAAGTTGGTGGGTAAAAATATTTTTAACGCCCAACTTGGATAGTAACTAACTATGTTGTTGAACTCCTAGCCTTTTTGTCATAATGTCAGCAAGTTGCTCTCCTGTTGACACATGCTCAACTTCGATGACCCCTTCTTGTATCTTCCCCTAATAAAATGGCAATCTATTTCAATATGCTTTGTGTCCGCTCATGGAAAATCGGGTTCGCTGATATCTGCAATGCCACTTTGATGCCACAATACAATTTTGCTGGTTTTACATTTTCTACACCAATTTCAGTTAATAAGCCTCTTAACCATGTGATTTCAGCTGCTACTGCTGTCATTCCTCGGTATTTTGCTTCAGCAGAAGACCTAGCTACAGTACATTGCTTCTTCGATTTCCATGAGACTAAATAATCCCCAAGCTTTATACAAAACTGAATAATAGACTTCATTGTCATCAGACATCCTGCCCAATCAGCATCACAATATGCTTTTATTTGATTATCACCCGAAGCCTTCAACAGTATTCCAAGAGTAGGTTCCTTCTTGACATACCTTACCACCTTTAAGGCCGCCTCCAAGTGCGACTGCTTTGGTCGTTGCATAAACTCGATAAGGTTGTGTACAACATTTGTGATATTTGGCCTTGTATTAACTAAATAAATCAATCTTCCAATTAACCTTTGAAAACTAGCTTTATCTTATAATAAGTCATCATTATCGTGCTACTTCAAGACTACATCAAATTCAGCTGTAGTAAGTTTTAAATTCTTCTCTAGGGTGTTGAAGATACTTTTGCTCCCCCTAAACCTGCATCTCCTATCAACTCAAGAGCATTATTTCACTGGTTCAGTAAAATGACCTCCTTAGATCTTGGCACTTCAATTCCAAGAAAATACTTCAAGTCACTCAAATCTTTCATTTTGAAATTCTTATTTAAAATACACTTTAATTCCTCAATCATGCTCATATCACTACCTGTTATCAACAAATCATCAACATATATTAACATCAAAACTATTTTTTTCTTGTATTTTAGTGAACAAAGAATAATCATGTTTACTTTGATTATAACCTTCTACCAACAAAGCTTTAGTTAAGCGAATATTCCACTGTCGAGATGTCTGCTTCAACCCATACAGTGATTTTTGTAACTGACACACCATCTTATCCCCCTGGCTACAAAACCCTTGAGGCAAATCCATATAAAACTCTTCATGTAAATCGCCCTGTAAAAAGACATTATAGACATCCATTTGGTGAACATACCAGCCAGACAAAGAAGCAAGATCCAAAACTACACGAACAATAACCATTTTCGTAACAAGGGAAAAAGTGTCTACATAGTTGATGCCTTCTCGTTGATTATAACCCTTTGTAACCAATCGAGCCTTATATATCTCTTCTTCACCAGAAGCTCGATATTTCACTTTATAAATCCATTTATAGCCGATAGGAACCTTCTCTTAAGGTAAGGGAGCAACCGACCAGGTATTGTTAAATTCTAAAGCATGAATCTCTTCTTGCATGGTTTGTTTCCAGGAAGGATGAAGAATTGCTACTGAAAAGGTCTTAGGTTCTATAATGAAGGTGGTAGAAAGAAAAACTAAAAACTTGTGTATTAATAGGTAAATGAGAATAAGAAAAAATAGGCTGACCTGGAGGAGAGATAGATTGGTAGGAGCAAACAAAATCTTGCAACCAAGAAGGTGGTTGATGAACACGAGAAGACAGACGAGGAACAAATGAGGAGGGAACATCTACTGGAACAATGGGCAACCCAATTGGTGGTGAAATAGATTCAGTGGACTGTAAAACAGAATCAACAGACTGTGTTGGACTAACAAATTGATTGGGATAGTCAAAAAGTTGTGCTGGAGATGAAGAAGGTTGTAATGAATGATCAGTAGAGCTAGACTGTGGTAAACCAGACACAGGTTGAGGAATAATAAGAAAATCAAAATCATGAATGGAAGGCTGAGAAGGAAAAAACATGAATCAGACTTAGTAAGACTTGAATGGAAAAACATTTTCCCTGAATGAGATATCCCTATTAACAAAAAACTATTTCTACTCTAAGTCAAACAAAAACTAACTCTTTTTGAGTATTGAAATACCCCATGAACACAAAAGTAATGGCACAAGAAGCAAACTTATCTGAATTTTTAGGAACTGTAGCAAAACAAAGACAACCAAAAACCCTTAATTGAGTATAAGAATGATGTTTCCTAAACAAAACTTCAAGAGGTGACTTCCAATGCAAGATTGAAGAAGGTAAGTGATTAATGAGATAACATGCAGCTAAAATACATTTTCCCTAGTATTTAATTGGAACACCATAATGGAACCTAAGAGCCTTAGCTAATTCTAAGAGGTGTCGATGTTTACGCTCAGCCACACAATTCTGATGTGGTGTATGGACACAAGAACTTTGATGAATTATACCAAGAGAAGAAAACAAAGGTGAACAAGCGGAATTAAAGAATTCGATACCATTGTCACTTCGAATAACACTAACAACAGTCGAGAATTGATTTTTAATGAGGGCAAAGAAACTCTTAAGAACAACAATGACATCAGTTTTAAGTTTTAACAAGTATACCCATGAAACTCTAGTACAATCATCCATAATGGTAAGGAAGTACTGATGGCCACTATGAGTTGAAACCCTATCTGCCCCTCACAGGTCAATGTGAATAAGTTGAAAGGATTTTTGTGACTTAGAATAGCTCACAGGAAAATGATTTCTACACTGTCTAGCCATAGGACAAATGGTGCAATTTTTAACAAAATCAAAATTCAATTTCACGTTTTGAAGACAAGGCAATCTACTTATATTTGGAAATGATGCATGCTCCAACCGAGCATACCAAACATTTGTTTCATTATCAACAGAGGACATACATTGTGATGAAATCGTATTATTTGCACACAAAAAATTGTGAAGAGAACAAACCAGACTCTTTTTCTTTTAATGGAGACTCGAAAACATATAAACCACCGCAACATTTACCAATCCGTCTTGTCTTTCCATGGAAATTATGTTTAAAGTTCAGGACAGACATGACATCTTTTAAGGAATGGTTTGAATCAAAGGAAATGAACCAGAATATGTAATTGTAGAAATATTACCATTTGGTAAATGAACAAAAATCGAATCAGAAATGCGAGAAATAAGTTTATGCAGAACTGAAAAATCAAACACTACATGATCGGTTGTGCCCGTATCCAAGATCTAGTTAATTGACTTGTCACCCAAACAGTTCTGTGAAAGAATACCTGTCATATTAACCGCAGGCTCAATGGATGATCTCTTTTTCAATAGTCTGAAGAGTTGTGTATAATGTTTTTGAGTAAGAACAGGTCCAACATGAGCACACTTGAAGATGGTGAAGAGGTACCAGCAGCAGTAGCATCCCTTGAATTAACAGATAGCTATCTGAGGCCCCTTCTTCCTACTGAATTTAAACTCCGGTGGGAAACCAATGAGTCGATAACACGAATCTTTCTTATGGCCACGAACACCACAATGATCACAATTCCCATTTAATCGTCGCCTAGAAACAACATTCAAAAATATCATGGTTGAATCTGACACTGGACTTGCACCCCCAGTATACACCCAATGTGATTCTTCTTGGATGATCATCGAATATGCCTGATTGACTGTAGGCAATGGTTGCATAAAGAGAATCTGACTCCAAACCGCTGAATAAGACTCATTTAAACCCATCAAAAATTGAAATAATCTTTGTTGCAACACATGCCTTAAATTCTACTGAGTTTCTTCGAATTGACAAGAGGTAAAGGGAATTACGGTTCCATACTCATCCCATAACATTTTTAATATGTTGAAATAACTTAAAATTAAAGAATCACCTTGTGTCAAGGAAGCAATCTCACGATGTAGATAGAACATTCGCGCACCATCCACCTTGCTAAAATGTTCCTTTAGATCCTCCCAGACAAGAACGTTGCTCAATGCAAAAACAATTTCGCCTGATAACTCCTTACTCACTTTATTGAGAATCCACGAAAGAACTATTGCGTTGTAACGATCCCACTGACCACGCAATTGTTGCTCATGATCCTCTCGTTTGCAAGTTCCATCAACAAATCCAGATTTGTTCTTTGCTAAGAGTGCGATTTGCATCTAGCGACTCCATACATTGTAGTTCTCTATGCCGATTAACTGATGCGAAACAAGTAATGATCCTGGCGTGTCTGACGCATGCAAATACAATGGGCTATTAGGATCTACTGCAACTCCTTCAAATGATAATGGCATAATTTTGGGAGAAACGTGAAAGAGATGAAGAACAGCTACGAGAAACGGAAAACAAGTTTCTGTGGAATACTAGCAAGCCACAAACAGAGGAAAATGGGGTTTTTTCATATAAAAAAAGGCCCAGTGATATAGCTACCATGCCGAGTGGAAAACAAACAGAAAAGAGAGAAAAAAACAGCTTTTCGAGGCCAAGAACTTCAGTAGAACCAATTGAGCAACGAAAAAAATTAAAGAAGCAACAAACAAAAAACTCAAAAAATGGATCGAAACACGCTCTGATATCCTGTTAAACATGAAGAAGCAGGCAGGATATGTAAAAAAATTCTTCATTTCTCATGTATATTCACAAAACATTATAACAAGTATTTATAAATGAAATGTAAATTAAACTAACTATCTAACAGACTTGTAACTAACTAATTAATTAGTTTACAACTCAACACAAGTTAAGATGTTGACTTTGACTTTTGGTATTAACTTTGGCTTTTGATGCTAGTTTTAATCTTGACTTTAGGCGTTAACCTTGACTTTTTCGTTGGCTTTGATTGATAAGTAAACTTTCACATTAACTTCTCATATTAGGTCAATTTATTTGGATTTGATTAATATTCTACCATTATTAATATGAATCCATGTTTTCGGTTTTTTCTTTTAAGGTTATTCTAAACTTCAAATATCTAATTTGAATTGGCTTTTGGTAAAAGAATACTTATGCCCCTATATGTAGCTCCTAGTTAAGTTCATATCTTCTCCCATCTTGTATCAAATAATTTGTTAGAATAGAATTTAACTCGAATTTAAAGTGACAGAAATTAATATTTAAATTTGGAAAATTAAGAATCCTAGTTTGATTAAAAATATATAACTTTATTAAAGTAGATTTCTACTTTATTTAATTTTTCTTTATAGTCAAGTATCTATTTATAGGGTAAATGTTAGATATCAAGTTTTTATTTCACCAAAATACTCTTGTATTTTCTTCCTTCATATTTGTGAAATTATTCTCATTTGCTTGTGGTTTTTCCCTTTTGAAATTTCCACGTAAATCTTAGTGTTCTTTATTTTTTTCTTTTTCGATCGTGTTTATTTTGTTTTTTGATTATCGTTTCGATATTATAACATAATTCAATTTTCATATAAAAGTTTGTTCAACGTTGTAAGGTATGTGTGTTCCTTGCCTTGTGTTACACATTTCCCTTATTGATTTTTTTTGTGTATGTTACTTGTTTGATTATCATCATTGAGGTATTTACTTTTTAGTGGATTGCTTAGCAACGTGATTACAATTACATGTGTTGTTTAAATAAGAATGATTTA